ACTCCCTTCCACATGCACGCCTTTGCATGTATGCATACTCCCTTCCACATGCACGCCTTTGCATGTATGCACACTCCCTTCCATGTGCACGCCTTTGCATGTATGCACACTCTCTTCCACGTGCACGCCTTTGCATGTATGCACACTCCCTTCCACGTGCACGCCTTATGGCAGGCATCCTTGTAATCTTCTGGTGTTTGGAGCCTTACCCTAGCTAAGCACTGCTGGGCAGGCTCTGGTCTTGCTCTCAAGGGTGGGAAAGGGTGGCAGTCCTGGTGGCCTGCCTCAGGGTTGGAAGGAGGGGCTAAACCTGGGTAAGGAAATGTTGATGGTGTTGAATTCCTGGATGGACTGGACTTGTGGAGAGTTACACAGAGCTGTTGGCTTGCTTCCACCCTCAGCAATGTTGCTGAGCCAGGAGCATGGCAGGTCCTGTGGGGCTTGTCGTCCACCAAGCCTCTGGGTCCACTCTCTGTGCATCTGTCTCTGGGGATTTCTTGTGCCCTGGCTGAAGTTCCTGCTTAGACTTCATGGGACTGCCAGCGTAATTTCTCTTGTCACCTGCCTGGTTCCCATTCCAGCTGCCAGGGCTGGAGTTCCTGAGCCAGGTGGACTTGTCATCTGTGAGCTAGTATTCCCTTCCCCCAACACCAGGGCTTTGCCCACACCCAGCATCATTCCCAGTGACTCTGTGCCCACAGGGGCTGTGTTGCTATGGTGACTCTACTTCTGACAGTGTCCAGGGAGACAGCACCATGGAGCTGGAGCTACTTGTAGGACTTGCTGAAGCTGGCACTGAAGACTGGGAAAGCTCCAGACAGGATCAAAGGTGGGGGATGGGATTGAGTGGTGACTGTGGCTGCCTCCCCAGCAGCAGCATCTGTGTGTGTACATGCATTTTCATGTGTGTGGATTCTAACGGCCTTCCTGAGCATAGAGGCCTGGTTCCCCAGGGTGGCCCAACCCTAGGGTGGACATGGCTTCATGCTGAGGTGCTGTCATAGTGGACCATATTGAAATCTGCAGGGTAGCCAAGGGCCATGTGTGGGGAGGCAGAACAGAGTGACAGTGTAAACCAGTAAGTATTCATGATGGATGCTGACTTTGGTGCCCACCTCATCTCCTGGCTTTTAGGATGTTGCTGACCTGGAGGCCAGGTTGTAACCAGCATGGTAGAAATGGATATCTTCTAAAGAGATAGCTATGTCTGTTAATCTGAGAATCAAACTATTGAAACAATGGACCCCAGGAAATGAGGATTTCCCAGGAATCTCATGCCAGGAGAAGGAAAAGTCCTCAGCCAGAGAACTTGTCTCCTGGACAGAGATTTGCACAGTCCTAAGAACTTAGACCTCCTCACAGGATGAGGTGCTGGTGGGTCAGTGGCCGGATGGGCTGCTCCTCATTTAGGACCGCTCAGATGTGCCACACTCTTGTGTTTTTTTTTTTTGAGACCAAGTTTCTCTGTGTAGTCTTGGCTGTCCTGGAACTTCCTTTGTAGACCAGGCTGGCCTTCAACTCAGAGATCCATCTGCCTCTGCCTCCCGAGTGCTGGGATTAAAGGTGTGCAGCACCATGGCCTGGTCTGTATTTAGCTTTTTAAGGAAAGGCTTATTTATTTATTTTGTTTATATGTGTGTGTCTGCATATATGTACGTGTCCCGCAAGTATGTAGGTGTCCACAGAGGCCTGAAAAGACCACTGTATCTTCTGAAGCCAGAGAAAGGTGGGCATAAGCAACAGTGTGGGAATTGAGAATCAAACTCGGAAACTCTGCAAGAGCAGCCATGCTCTTAACAGCTGCACTGTCACCCCAGACCCTCGATTAATCCTCCCTCAGGACCTTGAAGACAGGCTCATACCTATCGCTGTATCTTTATGTCCCTCTTTTTAATGTGGCCACATTGGCTAAATCCCTTTCTTCTGCTTTTTACTATTGGCCTTGAGAACAGGTGGCTGAACTTGACTTTTCGGAGTGTAGACCATGACCTCAGGTTTGATAACAAAAGTGACACACTGTGATATTTTCCTCTCCTCTCCTATGTTGTCACTCCACTATCTCATTTAACCCACAACTCTCCCTACCCTGAGAGAGAGGGCTGCTATGCCCATTTTACAGAAGATAAAAGTGAGGCTGAGTTTCAAGCTTTGGGCTGAGGGTAGTCTTGGCATTGATTCTCCTTTCTGTATCCTACTTCCTGCTCCCTGTTTGCTGAGGGTTGGGTGGGGGACGGCACTGTAGGCAGCCAGCAAGTCCAGAGATAGAACAGAGTCCGTCTATGGACATCAATAGGACTCAGGGGGGAGGCTTCTTGCAAAGCGGGTGACAGGAGCATTCCCACCCTCCCCTGGTATTTGGGTTCTGCTGTCAAGAATATCCAGTCTCTCTTCCTGAGAGACAGAGGGAATTACTCTGGAAGTGACCCCAGTCATACATCCAGGCTGAACCGGTTCAATCCCGAGGAGGCTGTTTCTCCTTCCTCCTGTGGGCTCTCTCCACACAGTTCCCTCTACTGATAAAGGAATTCTGGGCAAGAGAACTGCCATTTCCCCAGCCCCAGAGCTCAGGCTCAGGTCGATTTGTAAAGCACGTCATGATTTATTCATGCCGCCTCCCCGGGCTTCCCAGGCCGACCTTCCTCTCACACAAATGAGCGTGACTCCCAGAATAGAATGTCAGGCTTCATTAAGGAAAAAGCCCCAGTGTGGGGACAGCCTTTTCCCTGCTCCCTAGCTCCCTGGCCTGTCATTAGTACTTGGAGAATTCAGGTCAAATTCCAGAAAACCCCAGCTGGAAGTGCCTTGGAGGGTGGGGTGCAAGGGAGACATGGAGGACCCCTCTCTGAGAAGAAGCTCTCCTGGAGGGCAGCTTTCAGAGCTCCTCTGCACCCAAACTCAACTGCCCCACTGAAGGCATCCTACTGGCAGTGCCAAGGAGCCAGCAGAACCCCAGGAGGAACTGGGGCAGCCACAGAAACAGGGGTACAGTTCTGCAGTACACTTGGGGGACAGGTCTCTCATCCTTGTGGGATGCCAGCGAGGGGATGGACCTCTGCACAGCCTAGAGGTCACCAGGAGAATCCCAATACCAGGTTCATTACTGTTATTATCATGCTTCTTGAACTTGCAGAGGGTCTCCAGGCCCTTTGGAACTGAAGTTGAGGGTGTTTTTGCTCTTTCCCAGGTACTTCGTGAGATGCCTCATGGCAGCACACGACCCAGCTCCCCTGCCTGATGAGCTCGGCATACACTAAGACAATGTCTAAGAAGGGCAAGACACTGCTTATTCAGGAACAGTGGGGGCCGGGCACTGCCATCTGGGGCTGCCTCACAGCCCTGGAAATAACTGTGATCCTAAAAAGCTTGATGTGATGTGATGTGTGTGTGTGTGTGTGTGTGTGTGTGTGTGTGTAAAGAACTCAGTGCTTCACCCAATTCTTTTGTTGTTTGTTTTGTGAGAACTCATAAAAATCTGAGCATGGTGGACATGCTTGTGATCCCAGCACTGGGGAGGTTGAGACAGGAGGGTGTCTGGGACTTGCTGGCTAACTGGTCTAGCCTAGCTGGCAAACCTTGAATCCTAGTGATAGACCCTGTATCAAAGGATGGCTTCTAAGGAATAACACTCAAATTTGACCTCTGGCCTTTATATGCACTGTAGTGGTACTATTAGAAGGTGTGGCCTTGTTGGAGTAGGTGTGTCACCGTGGGTGTGGGCTTTAAGACCCTCATCCTAGCTGCCTGGAAGCAATATTCCGCTAGCAGCCGTTGGATGAAGATGTAGAACTCTCAGCTCCTCCTGCACCATGCCTGCCTGGACGCTGCCATGTTCCTGCCTTCATGATAATGGATTGAACCTTTGAACCTGTAAGCCAGCCCCAATTGAATGTTGTTCTTATAAGACTTGCCTTGGTCATGGTGTCTGTTCACAGCAGTAAAACCCTAGCTAAGACATGCACTAAGACACACCTGCACAGACACACCTGCACAGACACACCTGCACAGACACACCTGCACAGACACACCTGCACAGACATACCTGCACCCTCACATGCCCACACTCTCACATGTACATATTCACTTGCACATGCATGCACACACACGTACACACTTCCTGCACAAATAAGCACACATCTGCTCATACACACATCTACCCAATCACACATATACTTACATGTACATACCCACACATCTGCACACACACGAGTATACCTCTTACCCTCTATACACACACATGCACAAACCTTTGCATCAGTGCACACATACACATTCACATACCTTCCTTATTACACACACACACACACATACCTTTATAAGAGGAATGATTTCAGGGAAAATATTTCATAACAGATTTCTGGGTTGAGCAGTAATAAAAAGATTGGTTTGAAACATCACTGTCAGAGGAAGGAAGACAGCAACTTTTCTCCAACTCCAGGTCCCCACACCAAAGCCAGTAGGTCGAGGATGTGTCATCTCACATGCCCCTGTGACTCTGGGTACTGATGCTTTTGTTCCTGATGGAGGGTCAGTGTCGTCCTCTGTCTGTCTGGTCTCCTGCTCCTCCCGCCCCCAGAGCTTTCTAGTTTTGGTCCTTCATCCGGCAGTGGCCTGTCTGTCATAGTCACCTCAGTGGTCCAGCCACTGCCCATGCTCACTGCAGTCAGACACAGGCACGTCTGTCTGAGCTACACAGCTGATCTGGTTGTTTCTTGCTCATCCGGGTGTGTTTGCACACAGCTGTGTCCGATGACAAGGTCATCGAGAGATCTTTACATCACGCACGACTGGCACATACATGAGGGCTTACCGTGCAGAGCGTTTCAAAGGTCTTTTCCGAGACGAAGGATCCATCGAGGCCAAAGAGGAAGATGGACGCATAGGACAGCATCCCGCCCAGGATAATGAGGTTGTTCATGTACGGGCTTGACATCTTGATCAGCCTGGTGGAAAGAGGCACTAGGTTACACAGCGTCTTCTGAACACACCGGATGAGTACTGCTGCCAAATGTTCAGGAGTGAGGGAGACAGGGCCCTGAGCTGACCCATGGCAGATGAAGATGTAGAACTTCCAGACCGATGCCCATTGCTTCTGAAGAGAATCCCAACAGCTGCATTTTGTCCTACCTCCTTCCTCAAGCCTACCTATCGGTCCTCCAGGGAGGGGACACTTGCCACACAGCTTGAACACCTTCATCTATTGGAATTTTCAGCGTTCAGGATTTTGAATTAGGATCAGGAATACAAATCAAATTGAACGAGTGTAGTGAGGTGGCTCCCCTGCCTGACTTGGGCACACCACAGAGCCCAGCAGGGCTGTTCAGAGACTGCTCACCAGGTGGTAAGTGAGCCCCCCTTGGAGCACTCAGAAAGCCCCCCCCCATTGTTCCATGTGCAAAGGGGAACAGTAGTGGTGACACCTCTGCCAGTCACAACCCTTACTCCAGGAGTTGGGCAAGTGGGTCCCACTCCAGCCATCTTCTGTTCTCTATCACCAGGCCAGTGGAAGTATGCCTTTCACTCCCAAACATCCTCCAGGCATCCATCCTCCTGTGGCCTCCAAGTGCCCAGCAAACCAAGTTTGAGCTTGCTGAGCTAAACCCTGAGAAGGCTAGAAGTTTTAGCCAACTCAGGGTACCTGGCTCCCCAGGCACAATTGGCTTGGAACGGCTCATTTTATAGACTGTAGCAATAACCAGTTGCTCCCCAAACATTTTACTTGTATTCTGCAGTTCTATGAATGATTCAGGCTTAGGACTGGAGAGCTTCCTGGAGAAGGTCGTTTGCAAAATCGTGGGTAGGAAGAGAAATGGGAGGGAGATGGAGTTCCCACATTTTTGCAGATTTTTCAATGGCTGAGCCATCCGAATAAATCATTCTGGTAATTTCTCCAGGAGGCCACGAGGGGGAAGTTAAAGAATTAATCTAGTGAGGCAGTTTGCAGCTCTGCCGGGATCTCCTTAGACACGCAGGAGGGCTGGACAGCGCTGGGAAGCAGCTATATGCCTGAGCCTGGAGCCAAAAGCTATCAGGTGCAGCCCTCACTTAGGGCTGCTTCCAGCAGCTGTGCAAATTGCAGGTGGCTAGGAAGGGACACCAGGTGAATTGCATTTATTCTCCAGGAAATGGGTTTGACCTAAACAATTACTTAAGTAAACAAACAAACCCGCAGAGCTCAAAGGCTCCCAGCTCCTCCTTGGCAAGCAGAAAAAGAAGCAAAAACAGAGTAAAACCCATCCCCTGGAACTATCCTTGTCCTTACCTGTGGGCAATGCTGTGCGGCTTCAGAGACAATGGCAAGGGCCCCATGAGTGCTTGTGAGGCTTTGATCTAGTCTCTCCCATGACAAGGCAAGAGCTGGGTTCAGTGATTTCCTATGGAAACTGGCCAAGGTGGTTGCCTGGCCAAGATCAAGGAATGGAGACCTGGCTGCTGACAGCTGATCACAGTACCTCAGAGTGGGGACTTCCTGGGGAGAGCTGAGGACACTCAAAAGGCTGAGGTAGAACCAAGAGGGTAGGCTATGTCACCCATAGACAACAGACCACTGGTGACACTGAGAGTCATGGAAGGGGTCAAATGAGATGTGAGGGAGGGGCTTCCTGAGCTGACATGGGCTGTTCCAGTGGGGGCCTCTGTCACAGGACCTCACTAGGAAAGGACCACCAGCCATGCCTAACGGGGCTAGAAGTGGGCCTGAGAAGCTGGGGACTCTGGGGTCTTCTGTGCCATTGCTTTTGAATTAACTCAAGGTGATGAGCATGCTCAGAGCTCTAAGAAGGTCCATGGGCTTGGGCTTACCACTTCTGCTTTATTTAACTCAGCCCTCTAGCAGTCCAGCTGCCTCCTACTCTGTGTGTGTGTGTGTACCCTAAATTATCTTAGCAACAGGGCAGCATACTTTAGGAAAATACTCAAAAACACTCACAGTGCTCTTGAAGAACCTGCCATGCTGTGACCCCATTGGTGAAGCAAGGGGCTGGTCCACCCGAAAAGCATTCTCCCAGCATACAGCAGGGCTGCTTACTTTTGGTTCCGGTTCTTGATGTTGAAGAAGAGGAAGGCGCTGGCCATGATCATACCAAGGATGGTGAGAGCTGACAGGATGCTATACAGTGGAAGTGAGATCTTCCGAAGCTGCTCCAGAATGATGGTCTTGTCCTTGGGTGGCTCCGACCCTGCAAGGTCAAGGAGAAGCCATTAGATCCTAGTGGTGTTATTCTCCAAGGACATTTTGCCTCTGTGTCCTTAATAATAACTGGACAAATATAACACATGTACCCCATGTCAGGCTCATCTGGGTGAGAGGATCTAGTGGCTGGCCAGTCTGCTCAGCAGGAGCCTGAGCCAGGACTTATTTCTTTCTCTAAATAGAATCAATAAGGGATCTGTGATGCATTTAACAGCCATTAGAAGACTAGAATTTGATTTGGTCTAATTACGCTGTTGAAAAACCATCACCATTTATCCCCAAAGGTAACCATGGCTGGGAAAGCAGAGGTACCGCTGGGTGCTACTGGGTGGGGTTGCAGCGGAGAACTTGGCAAGGGCCTCAAGGACTCTGTTCCTACCTGAACATGATAAATGATCTTGCTCACCAGGGCGGACACCCCGCCTGTCAATTCTAGGATGACAGATATGTGCTCTGGCTGCAGATTCTCAGCCTCAAGGTCATTATCACAAAAGCTCTTTGGTTTTCGGTTTCCTAAGACTGGGTAACCATGGGAGGTGGAAGCTACCTCCCCTTCACACAGAGCCTGGGCCAGGCTGAAGCTGTGGGGTTCCGTTTCTCTCTGTGCCTGACAGGCTGCCTGGCTCATTCTTCAAGGGCACCAGGAACTCAAGGGATGGGGACTGAGAGACTCAGAACAAATGCATGCTTGCCAGTTTGTACAGGGTGGCCCGGGAGGAGGGAGGCAGGAGCTCCCCCAACCCTGCCTTCCTGAAAATTCTCTTCTTTTATGTGCTATGTCAGGTCATGTATCTGCTGTGGAATTAGGAACTGTCAAGTTCCTCCCCTTCAGTAAAATTGGCTAGATGCAGGGGAGTGGCCAAAACCAGAGCCCTGTTGGGGATGCTGGTGACCTCAGTTATGCCTCCACTTCCAGGAGACAAGCCAGGGAGCAGGCCGGCAGCAGCGGGGTGGAGTACAAATGTGTTCACCTGGCCTGGAATCCTGCGCTTGTTCAGATGTGTTCAGAAAACAGTCAATGGGGACAGCAGGACTCTTCATCTAAGAGACTGAGAAAAGCTATTTCCTAAAGGGTCTAGGGAGCTTCCAGAGTGTTAAAGAAAACCGAGAGAGAGAGAGAGAGAGAGAGAGAGAGAGAGAGAGAGAGAGAGAGAGAGAGAGAGGAGGGGGAAGAAGGGAAGCGTTGATTCGTGAGAAGAGAGGCCCAAGGCAGACAGAGATAGACGGAGAGCATTTTCCACTTGCAGAAACTGGAGCTTCATATCCACAAACTTCCTCCTCATACACTCCCCACCTCCCAGGAGTCTTTCTGTTCCCCAACTCAAGGGCATTCCTGAGGCTACCCGCTGGAAACAGGCCCTTCTCAGGACCCCGAGATTTGGGGCAATAGTGACATGGGTACTACTGAGTCTGGACCCATCTTTTCACTACATCACCGTCTCCTTCAATACCAGCTCCTCTCACACAGCTTCCTTGTTCTATCTTGCTTCTCTACTGAACGGCATCCCACTAAGCACACCTCAGCTAGAAGAACCGCGGGCGCATCATGGACATGCTGAACAGATGTGCTAGGATCGGCGCTGAGTTTTATTTTCATTCATTCCTCACTCACTCACCCAGCCACCATTGATAATCAGCTTCTGTCAGTCAGGCCTGATGCTTGACATCAAGGATGCATAATGAGGAAGATACAGTCTCTGCCCTCAGGGGTGGGGAGCTTGCACATAGCCTCCGGGAAAGAACAGAGCAATGTGAGGCAACCCCAATTTCTGAGTGCTGTCTGCAGGGTGATGTGGAGAGATGAAAGACACAGGCTTTAATGTATGGATACGTAGCTCATCTACACTCTATAAATAAGTTATAAATACTAGACCCTTCTCACTTGACCCATCCATCACCCTTATAGGTGGTGGGCTGAACAGTCTTCCAGGTGTTTTGTGGCTTCTCAAACAAATAAGTGGCCTGCTAGAAGGATTGGGTCCCAGATCTGCCTGACTTTAACTGCTATGCAAACAGTCCTTAGGGATGCAGCCCAGGGGAAGGCTAGCATCTTCCATGTGGGGTGCCCTTCAGGAAGCCCACGCAAGCCTTACCCTGGAACCTTATGGTGTCATTGATGATCTCCAGTGTGTCAGCTACTGCGTTGTACTCGCCGACCTTGACCTCTCTGCTGTCTGTGGAGAACAAGAGACAGTAGCTGGTCAGCTGGAGCTCCCAGGCTTGGGTCTGGGGGCTCTCACAGCCCTGGCTCTGCTTTCCTAGATTTCCCTTCCTCTATCACCCACTCCAGCTAGGATCACAAAGTGTGTAGCCGGCCTGGGTCGGAACCTCAGCAGGGTGTCCATCCTCTGCTGAACACCCCAAGGATGGGAATCCCATTTTCTCCAGTTAAACTCTGCCTGGTCATTCCTCTAGCCCAGTGAGTACAACTCTCCCATCACTTGCTTGGTGGGCTTTACCTCAGGGCAGCACAGACAATTTCTTCCTTTGCTCCAGGACAATGCAGGAGCCCACTCCTCACTCCCTTGGTGCCAGCCCCCAGCTCCCCTGAACTTTAATTTACTTCTCTTGGGCTGCACCCACAGTCTCTTGGAGTCCCTGGTGAATGAGGACCCCAAAGTACTGTAGGCATGACTCTGTCAGCTAAAGGTAGTTGGGATCATCTCTTCCTTCGAACTGGACAAGACCATCCTGACAATGCAACCTGAGGTGGAACTGGGGTGGTCCGGAAGCCACAGTACTCTGTTGTGTCATGTCACGCTCTTGTTTCTCTGTATGCCTGTGTCCTCCCATCTCATTGGTGAATTCTGTATGTCTTCATCCTCCTCACTATTTCTTTGCTTTAGTTCACCGTCTTTGTAATTGTCAAGGATAAAGATGGCCATGACTGGCTTAGGAAGGTGGCAAGAAAAAGATGTCCTTTTCCCAAGTAACACAGGGCATTGGGTGATAAGTGGGAGTGAATGGGAGGTGTGGGGATGAGATAGTTACCCAGGATTCAGATATGGATGATAAGGGCCTTAAGGTGCTGTTTTATGAGTATGGAGTGCAGGGAGGGATAATGTCTTGTGGCTGAGATCACCTACGAGAAGATATCCTGGAGTCTGGAGCCCAGGGCAAAGGTAAGACAGGGCCATTTGCACAGAAACTGGGGAGAATCTCATCCTGGCAGACAGATATGAGACCCTAGGGAAAGCCCAGCAAGACGAAGCAACCCAACAAGCATTGGGAAGCATCTACCTCCAGCAACAGGCAGAGAGCAAAGGAGCCAGGGAAGAGAAGCCAGATGCCAACAGAAGCATCATAGCATCCAGGAAAGGGGCAATGTGACCGTGGAGCTGGGCAGGGATCTCTCATGTCACTGAGAGACTCATACAAGCAACCCCTTGAGTTAGGGCTGTGGATTTGGTGTCTGGTAGATGCAGGTAAGCAGAGGTAGTGTCACCTAGAGGGGGCAGGTAGCTGGGTGTATGGGAGTACAGACTGGAGCAGGCCTTGCAAGGATGGGGGAGGGCAGGCAGGTACTGGAGGTATTTCAGAATCCTGCTGTGGGTGTTATGATTTGCTATGGTTTGAGTCTATTCCTAGAGGTTTATGTGCTGGAAGCTTGGCTTCTGTGTGACAGTGTTGAGGTGGTGGGAGGCACTTAGGTCACTGGAGTCCCTTTCTAATGACATGCCATTCTAAAGGGCGTGGTTTCTTCCTGTGAGGGTGAGTTGAAGGAAGGGTCACCTGGTGCACGGTGTGCTGAGCGAGACTCTTTTCTTTGGGAAATAACTGGCCCCAGGTGTTTTACTACTGAAAATGACCAACAGTGGCTAGATACAGGCTTCTGTCTGCCTGTCTTCTGTTCAGTACCGTCAGTGTGTGGGTGTGTGAAGGGCTCTTAGAGTTACTCCACTGGACGATTAAACCGAGTCTTGAGTTGACTGTGGCTTTGTTGAAGTCTTCAGTAGCACTAGGAGCAGAGCTCAGTTCCAATCTTAGACTTTACTCATGGTCCACGGGGATCCCTGGATGGGATCCCTGAGTGACATCTCTGTGCAGAGTGGCTGCTTCCATGGTTTACCACCAGAGAAGCATGTCTTACTGCTCTAAGCCTACCAAGGTGCAGGTGGGTTCCTAGAACTGTAGACTCCAGCCAGCTAAGTGCCCAGAACTTATGAAGGCAATCCAACGTAGGCCCAGGAAGACAGTCTGGGTTCCGGATTAGACTGAGTTTGCAGAGGTATAAAAGCTCTGCTCTCCCCTCATAAGCATTCGGGAAGCGGACTAGGGATAGACTAGGGATAGACTAGGGATAGCAGATCTCTTAGACCATACTTCTGTCTGCTTCCTAGATTTCAGGGAAAGGGAACTATAAAAGTCATGGGGTGTGGGGAGGGCACACTATGCCAGTGGCTGATGCTTGCTCGGGTTGCCCAGGTCTTAGATGACATATTAACACATTCAGTTGGGGACCTCCAGCATCTCCACTCTCATATTTTGAGGTCCTCAGTCTCATAGGCTCCCAATCAGCTACTATATCTAGGAGCAGGAGCAGGAGGAGGAGGAGGAGGAAGAGAAGGAGGAGGAGAAAGAAGAGGAGGAGAAGGAAGAGGAAGAAGAGGAGGAGAAGAAGGAAGAGGAGAAGGAAGAAGAGGAGGAAGAGGAGGAGGAGGAAGTTCTGACTTATTTATTCAGCTCAGGGAGGCAGCACATGAAATATGCAGGCTGAGAGGAACAAGTCATCAGGCTCCAGGAAGTGGCACCGCAGGGACCCCATGGTGCCCACAGCCACACGGCCAGCCCCTCAGACTCACACACCCTGCTGTATGCACTGTCTCATGGAGCTGAAATAATATTCAACTTCCCACAAAGAACATAATCACCATAATTTCTCCCAGGAGATTATACTCAGAGGCTCCAGGAGCTAGCTAGTTTCTGCATTTAGTGCTCAGAATCTATGACCTAACCCCCTGTCCAGGGAGGAGATACAGGCCTCAGGCAGACAATGGAAGAGCTTAAAGTCATATGGGGACGGTGGCCAAGGAGCACCTGACAGGGCTACCCTGCCCTTGCTTCAGGGCACTTCTCCTGCCCACGCTGAGCAGAGCGGCCTTCATCCTGCCTCCATTTACTGAGTACTAATTTGCATGCAGAGGCCAGCTCAGGGGACCAAACCATCAATACTTTTCCATAGTCAGTACAAAGTCAAAGTTATTCCTACATCATTCACTAAGGCAGTTTGGGACATCTTTAATGTCACAGAGATGTTACACTAAGTCCCTGGGTTACTTCACAGCCTTCATTCATTCAACTGATATTGTCAGGCACCTGCAATGGGCCAGCTTTGTGCCGGGGAGCTGAGTCACAAAGGCATAAAACATACAGGAGACTCTGATGTGGTGGTGTGTGCCTGCTGTCTCAGCGCTAGGGAGGCTGAGGCAAGAGAACTGCAAGTTTGGGGCCTGTGCTACATAATCAGAGCCTGTTCCAGCAGCAGCAGCAGCCGCTGCCACCACCACAACAACATAAAAACAAGATCTCCAAGGTTTGGAGATACAGCCTAGCGGTAGAGCCCTTGCCAAGCATGTAAAAGGCTCTGGATTTGATCCTCAGACTGGGAAATAGGTAGATAGATAGATAGATAGATAGATAGATAGATAGATAGATAGATAGATTTTATTTTAAAGTCACAGCTGTGAACTTTAGGAGTTGCTGTGAGATTCGTGAGCAGCACATATTGCAAGGGCCTCTTCAGTGGCTTAACTAACAGGAAATGGTAGTTACTTAATCCATGAAGATAGCGGGCCTTTTGCTTTGTCCTCAGATGTTCCGCTTGCTCTCTTCCTTCAGTGGAAGTTTCCACTTTTCATGGTAGCTCTCCTCTCCCTCCTCATCTCCAACCGAGTTTATTTATTTAAGACCCTCTCACTAGATTGCAAGACTGGCTTTCAACTTACAACTTTCCCAGGCTGGCCTTGAATTTGTGGTCGTCCTGGCTCAGGCTGTCTAGCAGCCAGGATTACAGGTATGTACAAGGAACATACCCTGTTCTGTTCTTCCTGGCCTTCCTGACCAGGTTAACAGCATGATGTACAGCCAACATTTCTAACTTTTAAATATTTTATTTGTTATTATTAGTGTGTAGATGCATCTCTCTGTGTCTCTCACTGTGTGTCTCTCTCTCTCTCTCTCCCTCTCTTTCTCTCTCTCTCTCTCTCTCTCTCTCTCTCTCTCTCTCTCTCTCTCTCTCTCTCTCTCTCGTGTGTGTGTGTGTGTGTGTGTGTGTGTGTGTGTGTGCGCGTGTGAGGGTCAGGGGACAGTTGTTGTTAGGAGTTGATTCTTTCCTTCCACAATGGGTTTTGGGGACCAAATTCAGGTTGTCAGTGCAGTAATGGCCACTGAGTGATTTTACCCACCAAACCATCTTGCTGGCCAGTACTTCCAAGTTTGAATCCTGGGCCTCTAAAATCATGTGGTAAGTCTGAATCGACACCGGGCCTTATAAACTAGAGCTCATGGACCAGAGCATCTGTGTACAGCCTGGAAAGACTAACCCAGCAGGAGTAGAAACCATTACAAAGGGTGTCACCAGCTGCTTCCCTGCTCCTAGGCTCTGCTGCCCCCAGGCTCTGCTGCCCCCAGGCAATTGGAGTGACTTTCCCTTTCTCTGGGCCTTTCTTTCTCCAGCTGCTTTGAGTGGCTCTATTGGTTCTCAGCCTTGGTGGGGACTTAGAGACCTGGGACTTATGGAACATTCAGATGCCTGGGTATAAGCCAATTCATCATAGAACTCCAGAAATTAAGAAGCGGGTCCTGGGGGGTCATTTTCTCTAAAAGCGTCCCAAGCTGACCCTTTCATGGAGATGGAGTGGAGAGCCACTGGCTACTCTTTGGGCTTTCAATGTGGACAATTTCTGGTTCTCAGAGGCTAAAAATATTATGGAACCGAGAGTCCCATTTTCACAAAATAATCTTACTTTCCCCTTATTCTCTCTTTAAAAGGCACATTTTCTTCAAATTTTGCATTTGGGCACCTAGAGAAAAATAGATGCTATGCTGACAATTTGGATGCTGAGAAACTGTCCAGTCTGAAAATATTCCCTGGCTGTGGGCCCAAGAGTGTCCAGGAGACAGTTGGGCCAAGGTTTTATCAGGGAACGATGTCGTCAGCCTTCTGCTCTTGCTGGCTCTCTGGTCTGTATGTAACATGGACTCTGTCTCATCCCCCAAATACCCATTCTTCTTTGACTCTGGTTTGAAGGAAACAACTGTAAGTGTTAAAGTTAACCTATTGGCCTGCTACAGTACTGAATCCCTCTAATCCCAGAACTTAGAAGGTGGAGCCAGGAGGACCACAAGTTTGATGTGGGCTACAGGCCAGGCTGCAAGTGAGATTCCAATAACCTGAGCTGTGGAGATTGTGTCAGAACCAAAACAATGCAAAAGAAAACAAGACCAGACTGTCCAAAAGCCTAGAAAACACAAATCAGAGAACCCTAAAATGGGGCAGGGGGTGGTTAATGCACATCCAAACTGAAAAGTTCTGCTCTATAAGGACTTAAAATTTACAGAGCAGAGGCAGACTGGAAGACACTTTTGAAGCTTATGGCTAGCTAATGCAGGTTCAATATGTACATAGCATTAGCGACTTGCACATAACCGGGAAAGAGTAACCTCAAAATCAAACTGTCCAGAGGGTCAGAACTGTCAGTTAACAAACGGCCCAAATGCCTGAAAGACACAGCATGACTTAGTTTAATCTTTTAGACTGCAGGTGGGGAGGGGGAGGAGAGGGAAAAAGGAAGGGAAGAAGGGTAGGGGGTAGATAGGGAGGGAAGGAGGGACAGAGAGAGATATCAGGGAATAGCACAGGTGGGAGAGAGGGACATCAGCATCCCTGACTAGGGGAAGTGGAAGCAATACAGTCCCTAGGGAGAGAAATGGGGCAGATATACACAGGTTTAATGTGCACACTTCCCAATCCAACAGCCTATGGAGGCCCCGGTGGAGTCCATAAGGGGATGAGTGTAAGGGCCTTATTATTCACGAGACAGAGTTTGAGACAAGCAGTGCTTGTCACTGGGGAGTAGATGTGGGATGGATGTATCCATGGAGACAGTAGGGAGAAGCCCTGGCCTAGATGATCTCCCAGCAATGAAGCAAGGCATGTCCAAACACAGCACGCTAAGTGTAAAACAACAGCAAACACAAAGACAAGGAAAACCAAAAAGCCGTACGATCCAGTGGCCTTGAGGCAGATCCAAGATATACATACCCAAAATGACAACCCATACCTGGGGAGGACACATAAACACAACATTCCCACTAAGCAATGTGCATGTGGGTCATTCATTGGGTGTAGGGATACAAGAGGAATAGGGGATGAGCAAGCCCTAAAAGGTCTTTCCTGGGACAGTGATATCAATCCTGTCAAATGAGGAGTGTGAGGCAAGACCACACTTCTGGTCATTGTAGAGAACAGCCAGGGGAGAAGGATACCACCAGCTGATGTGGCCCTTCTCCATGCCAGTCACTGAGCAAGACACTTGACAGTATCAGGTCATTGAATACTCAGTCGCTTTCAAAGCAAGGGACAAGGTTATCTTTATATCACTATTTTTAAAATAAGCTCTAAAATAAAATTTCAGAGTGATTAATCTACTCTGCCTGGCAAGTAATGAGACTTTTCACATTTGGGGGGAATGAGCTCCCCATCCCTGGAGGCATTCAAGCAGAGGCATGAAGAGTCAGGGCTCCTGTAACACAGTCTATCACTCTATGGAGGGCAATGTCTACTAAATAATTCTGTCTTCTGGGCCCCCTTACTTGAGGGCGTTCTTCCTGGATGGTGAGGGCTAGCAGGTCTTCAGGTTAGGAACAATACTCTGTTCTCAACAAGCCCACCCTCACTAGTGTCTTTCTGTGCCTGCTGACCCACAGCCCTGCTACAGTGGGGTGACGTTTTGGAGACTCCGTCTCTAGTCTTTTTTTTTTTTATATGGTATTTTTTTTATTCAATATTTTTAAAAGCCAATGTTTGATTGAGTCCACTGAGGCAGCCTTTCAGACCCTGGCTCATGGAAGGTGCTATAGTGTGTCAGAAGACAGGAAAAGACATTTTAAAAATCAGCCTCAGGAATCTCTCTAATCAGGGCCAAACTGTCCTGAAAGTTCTCTAGTAGGTTCTGGGAAGTCTCTTCCTGCCTTTATGTGCTCTGACATTTGGCCAGAGAGATTATGAAGTCCCCAGGGCCAGGCACTGTATCTTATTCAACTTGGTGCTCCCCTGGAGGGCTCAGCAAAGCAGCAGGCTGAGGAAGGGAGAAACTGTTTCAGCATCTGTTCTGTGGGGGTGATTAGGGTGTGTGCATGGAGGGGCGGGGCCTCCACCACAGGAGGTACATTCTGAATGACAATTATGGCATTAAGAGCCTGCAAGACCCCATCCCTTCAGATCAGGTGTGCAGACACCAGCCCCAGAGGCTGTCCTTTATATCTCAAGGAAGCCACTATCAGTCAGCCTCACAAACGGGCCTAATGAAGGCAGGCTGCAGGGAGCAGATGCTGGGCTTTCTATGAGAGCGCCAAACAAGGCCTAATCACGCTCTGCTCAGCTTCCTCCCCGCTACAGATTCCCAGTGCTGTTTAGAAGAGGCAGTTACAGGGAATCTTTTTTCTCTTAAAAGGAAAGGAAAAGACGCTTCTCTAATATTCATCTTCATCCACACAGGGCTCAGGAGATGGAGAGGAGATGGGGGAGGAGCAGGAAACAGACTTAGAACTTGGGCATGACCAGGATGGGTGTGGCTCTACAGGGTGGCAACACTGCCCCTGCCTCCACCTGCCATCCAGGGTACGGAGCTCACTTACCACCAGAGAAGGGTGGAGCCACATAAGCTGTGTGAAGGAGGTCCTAGGATATAGTGATGGGGCCTGCCCAGGGGGGCAGGAGGGACCAGAGCCAGTACAGGGACATGAATAGGCAGCAGGTTTCTATAATGGGCAGCTGAGGATATGGCCTCTAGGGATACAAATCAGCATTCTTTGGGGGTACTTCTTCCAGAGTGAAGGGTGCTGGGTGTTTGTACCTATGCATTATCACGGCTCTGGGTTGATCCCAGAAATGGAAGTATTAACTTCTCAGACAACAGGACCTACTGGTCCCACACCGGGAGGTGCCGCTGTTCCTAGCAGGATGCCGCCTGACTTGATGTGGGCAGGACCACAAACCTGACTTCTGTTGGCTGCTCTGGCTGCCCTTTGAGTTCAGCTATGCTAAGCCTGCAGTTGTTGGAGTTGATGTCTAAACTTAACATATGAAAAAGGGAAAGGTAATAAAAATCAGCAGGCGCCCTGCGATCAAGTAATCTATATTTTACAAAACGCTCTCCTCCAGGTGATATAATTTGAGAACTTGGAATATGACAAAAGGATTTAGTTGCTATCATTCAAAGAACAAGCATATTTGCTAGGATGCTTACTTTGTTCAGCCAATGAAGAAGACTCAACAAATGAGAAAATAATTACATTTGCCTAAGATAACACCTTTTGTGCATGCTGGAGAGCTGACGTGCCTTTCAATTACCCTCCATGGGAGGATGAATGGGCAAACCGCACGGTCCCATTAGGAGGGAGCAGCCTGAGAAACACCTCTCCAGATTGATCAGGTGCCTGGTGGGATTCGCCCAAATTGAATCTGAAGAGCTTGCCTCAATTCCGGCTTTCTCTGGAAAGACTCTGGGATCTGCTCAAAGCAAAGGCCTCCTTTTCTTGTTAAGAAGCCAAGAAACTGTACTCTTACAAATGCTGCCTCCCCTGGGGCGGGCTCACCACAATCATAACGACCACACTGAGGCAAACCAAGGTAACCCTCCCAGGGAGTGTCCAGCTCTGTCCCCCTTTATGCTCTGAGGACTCCGACAAGTCCCCACCCTTTTCTGAACTGTTCTCCATGATAGATGGAACATGGTTGGGTGGTTTCTGAGCCCCAACTTGACTCTAGCAGCAGCAGCAACAAAACCCACTAAATGGACTGGTTCCTAAAGAACATTATGTGGTAAATAAAAAGCATGTGTGTGTGTGTGCCTGTGCGTGTGTGTGTGTGTGTGTGGTGGGTGGGGTGGGGAAGGCTGTGAAGATTGTAAGAAATCAGAGACTAAGGCGACACACCAGACTGGTGTGATGGTAGGACTTTGTAAGGGTTTTCCATCCAACTGTCAGCTTTGAAATGGTTGGGGTACTGATGGACGAGAGTGGAAAGACACTGAGAACTGCGAACTGTTCTTGTATGTGCAGTGGCTATGCCTGAAAGAGTCCTCCAGAAGAAATGCACACTGGAGTATTTATATATTGAAAAGAGCTAATGCCTCGAGTGGTTTTACAACAGCTAGCAAAAAGTGGGTTGGATGGGGTATGTGGGGGGCGAGCCAAGATAACATAAGCCTGGCAGAACGCAGGCGATGGCTTACACTAGGTGATGGAGGGGTAGGGGTCGTTATGTTGGTCTGTGATCAAATCCTGGAATGATGCGGGCTTCTCAGCATTTGCTATTGACTCACCCATGCTTCCCTTCTAGGAGTCATGTCGGGGTCGAGTAGGCTTGGGGAGCCGGGTATTGAGAAACAATTTCCCACATAGCTGTAACTCATGTTCTCATGGGGAAGCGGTTCCTATCGACTCCTGTTTTATCTGGAATCTCATATCAGATTTCCATCTCTTCTGATGCCTTTTATTGCAGAAACACAACATCCCTGAATATAAATGCCGTCAGCTGGAAAGAATACGCAACCAAAACCTACCTTGAAATTGAGTAAATTTAATGGTTCCCATTCTCTCCCCGTTCCGGAACACAACTTGACCCTAAAAACAAAACAAACGAGAACAAAAGAGAAATGTCACATTAGCTCACTGAAATCGTGAATGGCATGGCATACTTATTAATATTGGAGAAAAATCGGCTCCCGTCGAAGGCAGACACCAAAGTCAAGCTCATAACTTACACATTAGTTGTGACTTTATCTGCTTAATATTCGAGAGGCACAAAAATCAATAATGAAGCTATCACATGTGTATTAAAGGCGAGATAGCATCGTCATTAGCACAGTGATTATGAAATGCCCACGTGGCTTATGTTATCATGGGATGAGGTCTTCTGGTGGGATGGAGGGAGGCTTTTTATTGTTGGTCCTGTGCCCACTATAGGGCTTCCCTGAGGACCATCAGGGTGCAGGAGGTTGGGCTCTTTTCCTTCCTTCCTTCCTTCCTTCCTTCCTTCCTTCCTTCCTTCCTTC